TTTTTAAATATCTATTTATTTATTATATATTATGTGTATAGCATTCCTTCCACGTGTGCCTGCAGGCCAGAAGGGGGCGCCAGGTCTCATTATAGATGGCTGTAAGCCACCATGTGGTTGCTGGGAATTGAACTCAGGACCTCTGGAAGAGCAGTCAGTGCTCTTAACCTCTGAGTCATCTCTCCAGCCCTAACCGGAGGTTTCTCTCCTGCCGGCCAGTTCCTGAATAACCACTCTGAGGCTTAATATTAATTACAAACTACTTAGTCTAATAATAAGCTCAGGCTTATTATTAATTAGCTCTTACAACTTAAAACAACCATTTCTATTATTCTATATTTTACCACGAGGCTCATGGCTTCTTACCTCACACCTTGCTTCTCTGGCAGCTGCTGGCATCTCCCAGATCCCACCTTCTATTTTCTTGTATCTTTGCTTGGATTTCCTATTTGACTTCATTCTGCCTGGCTATTGGCCAAATCAGTTTCTTTATGGTATCCAATTTTTAAAATTTCATTTATTTATTTGTTTGTTTGTTTGTTTTTTCGAGACAGGGTTTCTCTGAGTTTTGGAGCCTGTCCTGGAACTAGCTCTTGTAGACCAAGCTACCCTCGAACTCACAGAGATACACCTGCCTCTGCCTCCCAAGTGCTGGGATTAAAGGCGTGAGCCACCACCACTCAGCATGGTAACCAATGCTAATAAAACATATTCACAGCATCCAGAAGGGCATCCCACATCAGATTTACTCATTTCGAACCAAGCAAAAAAAAATCTCTCCCAGGTGTGTCCTCCATTTCTGGATTGTAGTTCATTCCAGATGTAGTCAGGTTGACAACCAAGAATAGCCATCACAACGAATAAGCTATCTCTCTACCAACTCCTATCTAGCTTAAAACCAAACCAAACCAAAACAAACCCTTCAAATATCTTTCCATGGGGGCGGGAAGATGGGTCAGTGGGTTAAGTGTCTGCTGTGCAAACATGTGGACACGATTCAGATACCCGACACCCACATAAACCAGGTATGGCAGTGTGCACCTATAACCACAGTGCTCTGGGGATAGAGAAAGGGGTCCCTGGAGCTCACTGGCCAGCCAGGTTAGCCAATCTTTGAGCTCTGGGCTTAAAAAAACAAACAAACCAAAAAAAAAAAAAATCAAAAACAAAATAGAAAAGTAGTATTATAGAGGAATACATTCTACTTCAGCCTGCCTTGCACTTGGATGTGCACACATATCACATTTGCACGCACACACACCTCTACCTGCACACTCACACACATATGCACACATGTACACAATGCACATATGCACACACAAGCACACATGTACACACGCATGTGCGCACACACACTTTCCCCCAGGATAGCTGATAAATTGAATGTCTGAAAAAAATTCATTTTAGAGCTGGAGAGATGGCTCAGAGGTTAAGAGCACTGGCTGCTGTTCCAGAGGTCCTGAGTTCAATTCACAGCAACCACATGGTGGCTCACAACGATCTGTAATGAGATTTGGTGCCCTCTTCTGGCCTGCAAGAATAAATGCAAGCAGAACACTATATGTAATAAATAAATATATCTTAACAAAAAAATTATTTTATTCTGATGGATTCTAGAGTTAGAATTACAAATTCAAAATGGCTCTTGCTGATCTTTGGAGCATCTGACCGTGGTCTGCAAGTGGCCGCCGAGCAGCCTACCGCCATCTATCTCATCCCTCCGTTCTTGACTTTGGTGACCAGTCTTCACCTGAGCTCTTGTCCTAGAAGCTTTTGCAGTTTTCCCCCTAATCTGTGTAAAATTATCCCTTCAAACTGCTATAACAAAACGCTTTAGGCTAGGCCACTTCTATGCAACATAACTATTGTTCACAGTTCTTTTTAAAAAGTAGCAATTGTTTTCATTGTTTAAATAAACATATAAACATATATTTTGAGACAAGTTCTCACTCTTAAGCCTAGGCTGGCTTTAAACTTACAGCAATCCTCCTGCCTCAGCTTCCCAAATGCTGGAATTGTAAGTGTGTGTCCGGGTTAAACATGAATACTTATGGCTGGAGAGATGGCTCAGTGTAAGTTTAAGAGCATTGCCTGCTCTTCCAAAGGTCCTGAGTTCAATTCCCAGCAACCACATGGTGGCTCACAACCATCTAAAATGCGATCTGATGCCCTCTTCTGGCCTGCAGGCAGACACACAGACAGAATATTGTACACATAATAAATAAATAAAATATTTAAAAAACCATGAATATTTAATGCATACTTGAAGACCTGAGTTAAGCCTGGCAGTTGCTGTCTTTCCCACAAAGCTAGCGCGTCAATCAACTATACTGTGGGCACGTTTTCATGCTGCTTCCTCTCCTCCCGCTCAAGGTGTCCCCAGAAAAGAAGACGAAGGACGACCCTGAAGAGAGCTGTACCCCTGAGTAAGTATGGAGAGGAGCTATGTGTCCTCCACAAGCCCACAGTGCTCCAATTCCAGTCGCCTCAAAGCTCTCCCGTCCCCACCGTCCCCACTGTCCCCACCGTCCTGTAGGTCAGTGAGGCTCAGGTAGAGCTGGGCTGTCAAGGGGAGCCTAGGGAGGTTGCAGCCCAATCACTCACAGCAGCGTGAGTTTCCTCCTGTATGCGGTCATGACCTGGCTTCTCTGTGGCCATTCTGGACCCTTCAGGTCCATTCAGATGTACTCGCGTGACCCGCCTGCTCTCCTAGTGGTTTTATCTGTAAAGAGTGCCCTTTGCTGTAAGGACTTCAGAGCCTCGATAGTGACAGTAACCACCAGCAGCTCCAAAAAAGTCATCAGGAGGAAAATGCACGTGAAACTCCTGTAAATTTCATGCTTGGTGCTGCCAGGCTGGTGGCTCGAGACAGGGTTTCTCTGTAGCTTTGGAGCCTGTCCTGGAATTAGCTCTTGTAGACCACGCTGGCCTCAAACTCACAGAGATCTGCTTGCCTCTGCCTCCTGAGTGCTGGGATTAAAGGCGTGCGCCACCACTGCCCCGGCTCGGTGGCTCAGCTTCTAATCATAGTATTGGAGAGGCAGAGGGAGCAGTTCCAGGCTAGCCAGAGCTACATAGTGAGTCCATGTCCCAAACAAACAAACAACCCACCCCAAAGCCTGCAAGTAGTGGCCCAGAGTCGTTAATCCTCCTGAGGGGGCTGGGGATACAGGCTAGGGGGTGAGCGTTTGCCTGGTATGTGCAGTGCCACAGAACGACTGCCCAGTACAGAGATAAAGTGGGCAAGGCGGCCAGATGACTCAGCAGGTAAAGGCACTTAACTACCTGAGTTAAATCTCCAGAATCCACATGATAGAAGGAGAGAACCCAGCACCCGTAAGTGTTCTTCAAACTATTGTGCACCATCGCACAGTGCCTATACATATATGTACACATGCACACAAGTAAGTACACACGAACAAACACACACACAAAGCAATGTCCGTGCTTCTAGTCCTCTGGAGCACAGGGACCATTGGTCCATGTCCCTCCTGCTTCTTCCTCTCGGGGGTCCCACCTGCAGGGATATCAGCATGCCTGGTGCGAGCAGACAGAGTATGGGGGAGGCTACGGCCAGTCTCCAGTGACCTTGGGTACCATCTGCCCTTAAAGGTTTCAGCTTTCACATCTATTCATGCCAGGGGCTGGCGGGGTAACCCTAGAGGGGCTTGTTCCTGTCAGGGGATTCCAGAATGCTCTGGCATTTTGGCAGGACAGCCAGCTTCCTGCCCAACTCCCTGGCTTGTTCTGAGGGTGTGCTGAACCGTTATTTGCATTCATTCCCCCTACCAGCAGTCAGTAGAGACTCCTCAGGATCGGGCTGGAAGGGCAGCCACTAACGTTATTCTAAGCTTGGAGGTTGCAAACAGCAAACAGCTCTCATGCATATTGTTGCAGGCTTGCAAGGCTGCAACTCTCCACACACTTGCTACTGTTCAGTCCCTCCTAAGCACTCATCTCTGTTCTAGACACACGCAGCACTTCAGCCAACCTCAGTCAGTCTGGAGGTGGCAGCCCTTCCTCTCACTGACGGAGCCTGGGGCAAGGGACAAATGGTCCAGGGCCATACAGCTACTGTGCATCAAAGCCAGCTGAGATCTGTCCTCCTCCAAAGCCCTTGGATATTCCCCTTTGCACCACAGACACAGTAGGAAAGACAGGGCTTTGGCGGCAGGCTGATCTCAGGATATCAAGCTGCGGTACCCAGGCCTCTCATCCATGTTTTGGGAGACGTATACAGAGCCCTGGACTCTGTTCTCGGAAGGTCAGCCAGGAGCATAGGATGGAGCTTGGCTACCTTGGCCTGCCTCATCTTCATGCAGGTCTTGGTGGATAAAATGGGAGGACAAAGGCAGATATGAGCGACGATGACCATGTCAGTGTGTTGGGTAGGAAGAGATTTGGGTGTCTCCAGATCAAAGGTTTTGGTTTGGATGTTAGGATGAACCACTGAAACACCACTGTGGCTGCCCGAGGAAATGCAAGTTTGAGGGTGATACCCACCCTTGTCTGTGTTTCTCTCCCACAGAGCCCCAAGCAGCAGCCACAAGAGACTGGAGGGGCAGTCGGCCATCTCCTACGATTACTCCGAGGAGGAGCTGATGGCGAGCATCGAGCGGGAGTACTGCCGCTGAGCTGGCTGAGCAGTCTTGGTTACCACTGGCCAGGCTCCGCAAGCCTGTGAGCTGGGCTCCTGTTAGAGGGTACCACCTTGCTCCACCTGTGACCTGTGAGCTGGGCTCCTGTTAGAGGGTACCACCTTGCCCCACCCAGGCCTGTGAGCTGGGCTCCCGTTAGAGGGTACCACCTTGCTCCACCCGTGGCCTGTGAGCTGGGCCCCCGTTAGAGGGTACCACCTTGCTCCACCCGTGGCCTGTGAGCTGGGCTCCCGTTAGAGGGTACCACCTTGCTCCACCCGTGGCTCAGCCAGAGCGAAACCACTTCTAGAATACACCTCTCTTTCCACGCTGGTCTCTAAAGATTCGCGGTCAGAGTTCTGCCGCTGGCCTGGCAGACCAAAACTAAGGGCAAGCAGGCCCTGGGCCACAGGTGTGGGGGCACTGGTGCCTCCTCCCACACAGGGGGAGCCTGGCTGTGTGGTTCCCCTGAAATCTGAATTGTTGGTCCTTTCTGCTTACTCACTTTCCAAGCGGGGAAAGGTGGATGCTGGCATCCCTGTATGATGTGAGCTTGTGGTGGGAAGCAGAGCTCATGGTGCCCTCTCTGGGACTCAGTTTCTCTCTGGGGGAGGGGGTGGTAATCCTGGAGGTTCTTTGAGACCTTCCAAGCCGTTAGTCTGGCAGCTCTACCGTCCAGCCCATCATTTCCCAGCTGCCAGTGTGCTTTGGCTATCCTGCTGAGTGCAGAACCGTACAGGAGCCGAGAGAGGGAACCCACACCGAGAAAGGACTTCACGGCAACTGCTCTCCAGCGCCCCTTTCGGCTGGCAGTCTGCCTGGGGGCTGTGAACCTCTTCTCCTCCTCCCTGCTTGGGTGGGAGGCAGTCAGGATAACGATGCCAGAAGAGCTTTCAGACAACCCCAGTGGACAGGTGGGGAAGTGCGGAGAGCCCATGGGAAGGAGGGTAGGGCTTGTATGGGCCCCATAGTGCCCGGCGCTTGCTCAGGTGTCTGAGGAAGCACCGCACAGCTGGCGAGGATGCTGGCAGAAAGGCTTCAGAGATATGTGAGTGGCGGCACATGCTTACAGGTCACAGCCACCAGGCCAATGATAGAGGATTCCTGAGAACGGAAGGCTACGTAGTAAATTCAAGACCAGCTTGAACTATGTCGTGAGATTCTGTGTCAGAAAACAAGAGTAGAGAACGTTGGAATAGTAGTAGCTCTGGCCAAGGCCAGGCCAGGTCTCAGCTTCTGCTGCATCCTCCTACCAAGACAGTACTCTGCCCAGTATCCTTCCTCTGCTGCGAGCTGCTGTTGGCCCGCGATCTGATCGCTGGCCTGCGATCCTCAGAGCTCAACATGGAGCATCTCAGGAACCAAGGAAGAATGGTCCCTAGGGCCATCCCCACATCCACAGTCCTTTGCTGTCAACCGAAAATTATTCCATGAACTTTAGGACTTGACAAGAGTGCCTTTGAGTTTGCAGCTGGGCCCAGAGCCATCGGGTGTCTACCAGTGGGCTGAGCATTGGGTTAAAACCTCCCAGAGCTGGAAGCTGCTTCTCACCGAAGCTCAAAGCACTGCTTTTGATACGAAGATGGAAGTTGTTTCTATTTTAATATTTTACCCTAAATATTACAAATGCTTGTTTTAAAATAGGTTAAAATATTACATTTTTACCAAAGAATGAATCAGACTTTGAAGTTGATGTGAATATTATGTATCACGTTTGAGTGGGCATGTTCATCTGATTAAGAGAAAATGGGGGCCGGGCAGTGGTGGCGCACACCTTTAATCCTAGCGCTCAGGAGGTAGAGGCAGGTGGATCTCTCTGAGTTTGAGACCAGCCTCGTCTACAGAGGGAGTTCCAGGGTAGCCAGGACTGCACAGAAAAACAAATAAATGAACAAACAAACCTCCCTCAACTCCAAGGATGTTCTGAACAGTGGCTAGCCAGAGCAAAGTGTGTGCCAACTGGCGAGCTGTGGTCCTGGGAAACTCAGGCTCTAGAGAGGCTGGTCCTGCCAGAAGTGGGCTTGGGTATCACTGGAGCAGGAGTACTTCCTGCACTGTCCAGGTGTCAGGTACCCACCGATGTCCCATACTGCATTGCTGCTTCACAGTTAGCTACCCACGTTGTTTCCCCAGCCGCGTGCCCAGCCCTAGAGTGTGGGATCTGCCTACGCACAGCATGCTCTGCAGGGGTTCTCCCCCAAGATGTGCCAAGGCTGTGCTTGAGAAAACCCTAGCCCTTCAGAAATCCGGGTAGATTTTTCTGTACACATGGGCAGAACCTTGAGAAGCCCCCAGGCCTCGGCTCTTGTGTTCATGGGTTCTTGGCTCAGATCAGAAAGAACCTCCCACACCATCAGAGATTGGCCAAAACTGCCTGGGACAAGCTTTTAGCACCCTCTTTTTTGGTGTTCCAATTCCTAGAGGCACATTTCCTGGAATGATGTCCAGGGGTCCCACCCATTCCTGGGGACTCTGGGATTCATAAATGGATATCACTGCCCCCATGAGAAAGCACTCTGGAGACCAGGAGTCTATCGGCAGTAGCCGGGACATCAGCTGCTGAGTGTCAGAACCATGGAGTATTTTTCTTGTCAAGAATTGGACAGAAATAAAATGTAGTATTTTTTTTTAAGGGCCAAGGTAATGGCTTGGCAGGTAAAAGCTCTTGATGCCAAGCCTGACGACGTGAGCTCCACCCCCAGAGGGGCCAGTGGAAGGGAAGAGCTGACTGCTGCAGGTTGTCCTGATGCCCACATGCATGGATGGCATGGCATAATGAACCCACCACAGCAATACACTTCCCCTAGATGTATATGTATATAATCTGTCTGTCTGCCTGTCTGTCTGTCTGCCTATCTATCTAATCTATTATCTATCTTTACCTATATCATCTATTATCCATCATATCATCTATTATCTATCTTATTATCTATCTTTACCTATATCACCTATTATCTATATCATCTATTATCCATCATATCATCTATTATCTATCTTATTATCTATCTTTACCTATTATCATCTATTATCTATATCATCTATCTATCTGCACGCACGAGGAAGGTATCCCTGCATGATTCTGAGCATTGAAAAGCACAAGTCACGATTTATTTTAAAAGTACTGTTATTACATTTCGTGTGCACACATGCATGTGTGTCTGTAGTACATGGGTGTGCATGCCATGGTGCAGGTGTGGAAGTCAGAGGACAACTTGCAGGAGGTGCTTCTCTCTTTTCACCATGTGAATTCCAGCGAGCAAGCAGGTGCCCTTGCTCGGTGACAGGTGTTTTTGCCCACTGAGCCCTCCTGCAAACCCACAAACCACCTATTAGACTCTGAAGGTTAGTTGCTTCCTCTAGGAAGAAGGCTCCATAATTAGACCTTTTTTGGGGTGCTGGCCTGAATCTTGGGGAAAACTTGGCCTTGAGAGGCAGGAAAGAACTGTTTCTTAGTGTAAAGAAATCCTTCTTTTGCGGGTGGTGGTGGCTCACGCCTTTAATCCTAGCACTCAAGAGGCAGAGGCAGGCAGATCTTTGAGTTCGAAGCCAGCCTAGCCTACAGATCGAGTAGGACAGCCTAGGGTTACACAGAGAAATTCTTTCCAGTGTTGGCAAGGAAGCATTGCCCTCTCTGGGGCATGGCGCCTTGGGAAGGACAGAGAAGTCCTTGAGCTCCCAGAGGTACTTGACCTGAGGTCTGCACCCCAAAGTTGTTGGTGGCCCTGGATGGGACCCCACTGCTGCACCTCCAGAAACAGAAGCAGAGCCTGTGGTTGCCTGTGGCTGACTGCACAAGGCCAGTTCCAACTCTCAACAGTGACATCGTGTGGTCATGAGAAGCAGTAGCAACCTGGACCAGGGCTCTGCCCCTGGAAAGAAGTAGGAAGTCCAGCGGGGGGCTAACAGAGCCCCCCAGGAGTTAGGCTACCTCCTGGACAGGGAGACTGCCAACGGAGGAAGGAGGGAAGGTATCGCCAGGACAGCCTCTGTTGATTCCTCAAGTTAGCAAGAGCAATTCCTGTGTAGGACTTCTACAGCAGGCAGAAGGCACAGGCCATGCCAGTCTGTGCTACCAGACCCTGCATGAATCAAACAGTGGTGAGGTCGACCACGTGTCTGGGAGGCACTGAGCTGCTCGCTAGGAAGGGCGGCTTTCCGGGTCAATCTGTCTACAAGAGCCCAGGAGCAACAGAGGAGAATAAACCGAGCATGGTCTCTGGGACTCAGCTCTTGCTATGTCTCAGGGGCACTGGCACCCATCTCTCCCGCCTCTGTGGGGACTGAATGGCAAATGCCTGACATTGCAAAGTCCAGCCGGATGCCAAGAGGCAGGGAGGGCGGACACACGGAATCTCCATCCTGGGCCCTGCTGTGGATGGGCGCTTGTTGGTCACCGTGGGGATGGAAGCTTGTCTCCATCACTCAGCCTTAGGTAAAAGTGGAAGTTCAATTGCTAGTGTTATTATGTTAACTGCCACAACTTGCGCGCAAGAATTCTTACGAGTTGACCTCTTTGCCACTGTACTGCTTCCTCTGAAACAGATTAGAGCCCCCCAAATAAGAGTTCAAGTTAGGTCAATACATGACGAATCTCCTAGACTCATATGAAGACTGTGTGCATTAAGTCACTGTACACAATTACACAACACAGCACACAAGCCACGTCTGCAAACCAAGGAAGTTTATAGGATTCAAAGCAAAAGGTTACATCACACATACCCATTTCAATAAGTCTATTACATAAACATAAGGATTTGAAACATTTAATTTTTATTACTAAAACTACCAAAAGGCTCATCAAGGTAAAAAAAAAATCAAATCAAGCAGAACTGCTCAAGCAATAAAGTGCACTGGGGGTACCTCAACATGAGGGGGTCAGGGAGGGCTCTCAAGGGAGCAGGGCCCTCCTGGGGCTCTGGGGCTCAGGAGTCCTTTTCAGACAGGAAATGTTTTCCAACTCAGTCTTTCAGTAGACAGACGGTGGGGTTCTTCTGCAGAAGGGATTTCTAAATCTCATCAGGAAATGGAACCCTATAGTGTTTCAACACATCGGTTATTTCAGAGACAACACTGGTGAGAGGACTGAAGTTCTGTGTGACGATCAACCGGACGCTCCAAGACCTTCCGTGACTCACAGAAACATGGGGACAGGACACACCGCTCTGCATGTCATGGTGAAGAAGGTAACACGGGATGCCAGTGTGGAGGACAGGACTGGGGTACTGGGACACTTGGGAGCTATGTACAGTTAGTTCTCCCGTGGCTACATCATGTGGAAAGACAACAGTGACAATTAACTGGAGAACTGTCCAGACACTGCCTAAACACACATACCTACAAAACTCAGAGGCTACCAAGGGCAGCCTAACAAGGATCAAGTAACAACATACAATGTATGACCACGAGAAGGTTCTATAAGGCTCAAAAGACCTGAACATAAAACCTCATTTTATCTATTTAATATTTCAACCTTGCCATCATTTAAATAAAGTTCAACGCCAATATTAAAAGGCAAATACAAAATCTAATACAATACCACACAAAAATATCCTCAGGCTGCCCAAACAGTGCAATATATTGTTCTCGCTTACTGTATTGCCTGAACTTCCCAAGCTCTAACTAAAGCCAGTTTTTGTGGCCATTTGGACACACAGAGGCCACTCTATGCAGGGCACATGCTCACAAGGTACTGAGCAGCACCAGTGATCTGCTTTTAGGTTAGCTACAAAATCCCCATTCCATGTCTTCTCAGTTGAGCAAAACCACTCCCTTCCCACACAGTGAATGGAAGGGCAGCTGAGTGGCATCTCCCGCCACTTAGCAAAGCAAGCACTTCTCGGCATTCTGTCCATAGTTAGAAGGCATCTGAACCCCAGGGCTTATGGGCACGCATGCTTGCTTTGTGTTAGCTGCACTTAGGTGGACAGTTTATCCAACTTGATTCTCTCTGTGTGCTCACTAAGCGCAGTACAAAACAACACCAGAAGCCAACGGACAATCTACAGAGCTTTGGTGGCCGCATTCCTGGTTTTTGGTGCCTAAGTACAGACAGGCCATGGGATCATTTGCTCTTGGCAGACAAATGGTCTAAAAGTCAACACTGTGTACTCGTCCCTCCTTAGGTGGCCGACTCGGCACACCCTTCACAGGAACATCAGACACGTGACTAGTTTACCCAACTAGCACTTCGGTTCTGTGGGCTATAGGACTGACTGCTAGAATTTACTGATACAAAGAAGCTAACTAGAAAGCTTATTTTTCCCCTTTAAGAACTCTTTTTTGTATTATTTATTATGTATACAAGAGCTCTTTATTAAACCAGTTCTGATCTAAAACATTTGCTATAAAAAGGCTGGTAACAAACTTGTGATTTTGATTTTTTTTTCTGACTAACTACCAAGAGTACTTAAGCAGGGTCATTACAAAACTTTGATATAAAACATGGAAAAAAGAAGGCAGTAAAACTGTCTACCCAGAAATTGGTGATTCAAGCACAGTATAAATATTTTTATAAAAAAGTATAAAAATTAGTACCCTGTCTCATTTCTACAAAACACAGAATAGAAAGATTAAAAAAAAAAAACCCAGACTCTGTAAACTTTATTGCCGAAATAGTTGCTTGAATGCTGGTGATTTAGATCAAATTTTCTTCCATTTCCTCACAAAAGAAAGAGAG